CAGTTGGGGTAAATGGGGACAAAATTGCTATTTTTGACAAATTACGTAAGTTTCGTCCTTTAAAACGTAATATTTGCGGGTTTATTTTTTTAAGTTGTTATTTACATTCTCAGGATTAATTTTATGCATCAGAAAAAAATTTATATAAGCTTTAAACGCATGAAATTGACTGTCCCCATTTACCCCAAAATTTAGAAAATTTCATAAAATTCAGGGTAAATGGGGACAGCATAGTTTCTAAGAAAGTTTTAAGAAAAAAGTTTCCTTAAGTATATTACTGTATTAAGGGATGAAAAAACTTGAAAAAAAATTCCTTATGACTCCCATAACAGAAATTCACTTGAATTTTTTATTTTTGTTAATTTGGTTAATAATGACAAGCTGTCCCCATTTACCCTGAGTTTTCAAATTTTTGGGGTAAATAGGAACAGTTTGTCATTATTAACCAAATTAACAAAAATCAAAAATTCAAGTGAATTTCTGTTATGGGAATCATAAGGAATAAGAAAAAAATTTGGTATTATTTTTAAGTCTGTTTTCTTTGAAATGCTCGACAAAATACTGAAACAGTTTGACTTTAATTTTCAAGTTTTTATGCATTGAACGATAACTTTTTTTTATCTTGCTGCCAATTGTCAAGATAAAAGCTTGGCAATACTCAAAACCTCTTGCAGGTGATCTGAGGTTAACATATTGACGTTGAACTTCATTTTAAAACTGTAAATTAAGCTCCAAAACCTCTTGTCCCCATCTACCCCAACTGACCCTATATAATTAAAATTTTTAGAAATAATTGAATTTCAAAAGATTTTTAGTTTTCGAAAACTAATTTTAATTAAAAATGTTTTAAATAATTCAATATTTGAAGAATTTGTTAAAAATTATTGGGTAACAATAATTTAACAATTTATTTGCGATTACTTTTTTTTAAATAAATGAATTTTGGAAAAGGTAAAAGTAAATTTTTTAAGAATAATTAAATTTCAGAAAATTTAATATACACACAGAAAAAAGATTTCATTAATTGAAAGAAATCAATTTTTTTGTCAAATTTTTCTTTGATATAAAAAATTTTTTTTTTTGTTTTAAACAAATTATATTTGATTAAAAAAATTATCTTCCTTTTAAAGAAATTTTTTATTTAATTCAAATAAATGTTTCTCTGACTCTTACTTTATTGTATATCAATGTTAGAATTTCTTTCATTCAACGAAAATTTCCTTGAAACTATGAATCTTTTTTTGTTTCAAAGAAAATTTTATTTTTAATGAAAGAAAACAAGTCAAAGAAATTGGTTTCTTTAAATCAAAGGAATCTTTTCTCTGGGTGTAGAAAATTTTAGCAGTAATTAACATTTAAAAGGTTTTTAAATTGAATTTTATAAAACTAATTGATTTTAAAAGATTTACAAATTGAAATATTTGAATATTTTAATTCATAAAGATTATTTTAATTTCTCCGAATAATTAAATTTTACAGAATTTTTAAAGAAAAAATATTATAAATAATTGATTTTTTTGAAGAACTTGATGAAAATTATTGGTTGAAATTGTTATTAATTATTAAGTTTCGATTTTTGAAAATAATTGAATTTCACGTGATTTTGAATTGAAATTTTTGGTAATTTTTTTATGCTGAAATTATTGTTTTAAAAATTTTAAACAATTATTAAATTTTTCAAAATATTTAATTGAAAAATATTTTCAGATACCTAATTGAATTTTTGAAGAATTTTATTGAAATTATTGAAAATAATTAATTTAGCAAAGAATTTTAGTTAAAAATTTGTTGTTATTAAATTTTGAAAAAAAAATTTTTGCATACTAAAAAAAATCCGAGGCCTGTATAAGCAAACCTCAAATTTACGTAAGTTTCTAAAATTTCAATACTCAGATTTAAGTTACAAATTTTTTACACCTGATTTGGTTACACATCATTTATGGTTAAAATAAGTTATATATTCGAGTCAGAGAAATAAACGAGAGTATAACACATTAAGTAGAATATTACCACATAAACCGAACCAGTTTCCCTGTTTTAATATTATGTTCAGGACCACGTATATATAATAATAATAATAATAATAACCTGTGTATACGTATATAATTAAAAGCGCAGTTAAGTCCTGAAAATTGGAATTGAATTTGGTGGATTCGATATAATTATTATAAGCCAAAAGAAAACATGGGATTTTCTCCCCGGTGCATTGATTAAATTTCTAGTAAAATATTTTGTATGTTATTAGCCAAATATCAATTCAAGTTTAATTAATGGAAACTTCCCGTGTGGAAATCTCGCCAATATTTTCCTGTTTTGCAGTTTAGCGGCATATACAATAAATTCATAAAATATATCCGTTAATAGAATAAAAATACACTCACACCAAAATAACCGCTTAAAACAATGCGAAAAAAATTCCAATGAAAATTAAAGTAAAATTTTTATTATTTTTATATAAGTAAAGTTTTCCTTTAATTTTCGAATATATTTGTCCCATTCTGTCGAAAGACACAAGCAGTAACATTTAATGTTTAATTAGAAGTTGAAATAGAGGGGTCGCAATATTATTCCTGTATACGACCGGTGCACTGTTGAATGAATTGCACCTCTAACAACGTTACGACGATAACTCGTCAATTATAATAGTCCTCGCAACCTATCTTTTGTCTCATATTCTATAGCTGACTCATGTTTGTCGACCAAATATCACCAAACTTGGTTGTGCACGTCTGCCAGTAACCTTTTCAAGTTAAGATAAGCGTACATTCAAATATTCTCATTGTTTTGCATTAAATCTTTTCAATCTTATTATAACCAAAATTAAATATAAATTTCAATTTAAAACAAAGAGAAAATCATTTCTATTTTGCATGATTACACGCGTGTATGGAACTCATTAGCTATCTCTCTCATCAAAACCACTATACTTCCTAAATGGATTGCATATAATAAATTTAATTTTCTTTCGTGTAATCAATTAACCCCAATTTACAAACTACAAACATTTATAATTCGGATAATAATGTGTAACGATATTGGTCGAAATAATTATCTAGTCAAATTGATTTAATGGCAGTTAAATCAAGTTGATTCAGTCTGCATCAGAATATATATACAAATATATATATATATATATATATATATATACATATATTTTGCTGGAAAATTTCAGTAAATTGTAACCGCGCGTCGAATGCAGGAATACATAATTATATTTGTTAATTTCACAGAGATGTTCACTGCAATGAATTCACTTAGAATGTATGCTCAAATTTTCATCTCTCTGGTAATGCAACTGTGTGCACAAGTCTATTGAAAGATCCTAAGGATATTTATAGAATGTATGAATAGAACACATAATGACCCTAAAATTTTCCTCAAATAAAAAATCTATTTGAAATTAACTTTAAAACTATTTGCAAATTAGAATTTAGATATTTCAACGAAAAAACTTTGATTCATTTTTGTTGCAACTCATTTTGAGTTGGGTATCGAAGTTAGTAAGGGAACTCGAAATGAGACAACCAATTTCATTTTTGATATATATCAATTTCAGTATGAAATTCGTTCTCACTTTGAGTACAGGTTTTTTCTGTGTAAAAAAATAGAAGGAAATAGAAAAAAAAAGAGAAGTAAATGAAGTAACATTGATACATTTGATTCAGAGTGACGTATTAGAAAGCGCAACGACATAGGTACACACAGGAGTGTCGAGTGTAATATTTTGCAAGAAATTTATGACAACGTACAAGTATAGAAAACGACGGAAACCGAAAGTAATCTGGACGAGTGGCAATCTCTGACAGGAGAATAATAATTTATTTCTAACTCTGCGTATACACTATAAAAAAAGATTCGTTTCAGAAAATAAAATTTTTTTTAAAATCGAAATTAAAAAATTTTTTTATGATAAAAAAGGTATTTAAAAATGAAATTTTTACAGCTCTTTCATTCTCCCTCTTTTCTTATCAGTACAGAGTGGGTTGGGAAAGTGGTATATTTATGTCGTTGGTGCAAGATAAAGACATTTCCTTCACTTTATTACGTACAACAAGGCTTCGTTTTATGTCCGACAAGAGGATTTCCAACATGGTTTCAAAACACAGTCCCAACGAGAGAATGGAGAAGGACGGTTGCATTTAATATAATGTTGGAGATTTCCCATTAGGATAATCAAGCGTAGCAAACGAGAGATAAAGAGGAATTGAGTTGAAACTATGATGGATGCACGATTAAACGTTTACGTCGACCTCCTCCAGAATTCAAGTAACGACATTAACTTACTAAAAAGACAAAATTTATCTAGCCCAAAGAGATATAACCTAACACTAACAGAGAGAGAGAGAGAGAAAGAGAGATAAGACGTTCTTTGTGAATCTTCTCGTACAAAATGTTTTGTGGATTTTTCAATCATGCTTCTCTCCCATCGCTGGCAAAGCATTTAATAAAGCGAAGCGCTCTGGAGTTTCAAGTCTCATTTCATGCAGAATCGAATTGGATTTCCGGACTAGCTTGTGTATGTAATGAACAATGAAATATCCCTTTGATGTTTTGGGTCGAGAACGTGCGCGAATACACTTTGTTACAACGCGTTAAATAATCGGTTTATAAAAATTCATGGCAAGCCTAGTGAAGCGAGTTTATATCTCGAATATAAACGGATAGTCCTGTGTATACATACACATATATCTGTGGTGACGATGTGACGAGCCAGCGGGCAGAGAATCCCACGGATAGAGGAAAAATTGAGAGATCCAAGGGGATGAGATGTTTTTAATATACTCACTACACGCTTGTGCTTGTACGAATTTTCAACAAGTTCGTCCTCACACTTTTATATCCTTTACATATCCGCCGCGAAAAATTTATATACTCTCCCATATTTTTTATTCTAATTTCATTTTCTCCGAAAAGAGCTGTTAAAGCCTTCTGGATAACAGTACTTTTCCCTTTTTTTTTTTTAATAAAAAAAAATAATAATTTCCTTCTCTTTGTTTCAGGATCAATTATTCAAGGATCATTGGAAAAAAACAACACATTAAAACTAAAAAATGAAAATTTTCCATCCAATTTAAATTTCACTGGATTTAAAGAACGCCATCGAAGACTTGTACCCTACATGACCTATTATTTAGTCGGTAATAATGTTGAAAATCAATCACCAAGATCTACTAAATATGAAAAAAATCGAGAAAGAAATATCCCTCGAAAATCACAAATTCGACAAAATTTAAATTCACGAGAAAGAAATTTCTTTGCAAGACAAAAATTTTCACCTTCTGTACAATACGATCCTAAAGAACTTGGTCCAAACAACGCCTATTTCACTCCCATACGTTATGGGATGAAACTAAACCAAAAGGATTACTCTTCATTTACCTACCAAAATGCAAGGCCAGTTTATTCCAGACCTACAGTAGAAAATATCGTTCCTGAAAATAAAATTCTTCTTACAACAGAAACACCAAAAAAATTACAAAATCCACCCGAAAGAAATTATCTTCCCCTTAATGTAATTAAAACAATTCCCTCAACGGTTGACGATTATTATCTCGATTATGAAACTCATGGTAAACAATATGATTATGAACAACCATTTGAATCTTTTCGCTATACTGATAAAATACAAATTTTCAAACCTCCAATATCAAGACCCAACGATTTCAAAGTTCCTGTCTCAGAACTTGATCATATTGTGAAAACTTTACAGTTAAGTAATCAATTGCCTGAAATGCTCAACAAGGATAATATCGACAGTAGTATAAGAACACTTGTCGAAATTCTCAACATTCTACATAATGCAAGAAGAAGCCAACAATCTCAAATTCCAAACCCAGTTAAGCTGAAATCCAAGCCACCTGATTATGGCTTCAATGAAGACTTGACAAGACCTCAAGTGTTGGAAACTAATTATTATGTTACACCAAACGTCATTGATAGACCTCAAGAAATATTTCCTGATAAAATAACTGAACCGTTACACCCACTGATGAATTTTAAATCCAAACCAAAAAATCAAAAGATAATTCAATATTATGTACCAAAAGATTTGGAAATTAATAATCAATACAAAGAAATTTATTCACAATCAAATGAAAATGACACTGAAAATCAATCATTTAATTTACATTCGGTGAATACTTTGGAAAATGATAGATTTAAGTATCCAATTAGTACTGAGAAACCAACGAATAATTATCCCGTACCTAATGTGCCTAAAGATACGCAAAATATACCACCGTCCTTAAAGTACGGAGCTACAAGAGGAAAACCACATGTGGATTATCCAGCTTATTCGACCATTCCACCCACGAATTTTAATTGCAAACAACAGAGATACAAAGGTTTCTTTGGGGACCCCGCGACAAGATGTCAGGTAACTTTTTATTCAAAATAAATTCTTAAAAATTAACCTAACAATTGATTACAATTACAAAAATAAAAGTTTATTTAAATTTTGCCTTTTCCAGGATGTCTAACAAGGATTGAGAAAAAAATTCCCTGACTTTTCCCTGACCAACAAAATTCCCTGACTTTCCCTGACCGTTAGACATCCTGCTTTTCCTTAAATCCAAAAATACTAAAAAAAATTACTATTTAAATTACTGTCTCTTAATAAAATTATTTAATTCTAAAAATTAAATTGAATTAAATTCCAAATTAATTGAATTCCAAAAAAAATTAAGGGGACGCATAAATATTCCCAACTTTACATTTGTTGGAATTTAAATGGTGACGAAATTAATAACCTCAAATTTCTATGTTACCAAATTTTATAAAGTAGAATTTATATTAAATTAAATTTTCATATTTAAGAATGTTTATTTACCTGAATTCATATTTATCAGAATTTTTATTTTGCAAAATTTTTATAACAAAAAAAGTTTTAACTTAACATAATTATTTTTTTTATCTATTTTTCATTTAGCAAAATAGTTAATTAACTGAATCTATTTGACAAAACTTCATTTAACCGGGGCGAATGATTATTCCATAAAAAGAATCAAAATTTTCAATTTAAATAATTTTATTAGATATAATTATTTTTTAATGAGGCAAAAGTTTTGAACGTTCAAATGAACAAAATATTTTTTTTAATCTATGAATTATTAAAAATTATAATGTAAATGTAAAAGAAAACAGTAAATTAAACAAATATTAAATTAATAACTTCTTTTTAGATATTTAAAACAATATTTTGTAATAAAATTCGTATTTAAAGAAGTTACAAAAAAAAATTTTTGTTCATTTGAACGTTCAAAACTTTTGGCTCATATTTTTTAGACGAATATTATCATTTTTCGAATTAACATTTAACAGAATTTGTTTTTAAACGAATTTTTACTTTACAAAATTTTTAGGTATCGAACTTTTATTTAGCAGAATTTTTATTTCACTAAAATATCATTTTATCCAACTTTTTATTCATAAGAATTCTAATTTAAACAAATTTCAATTCATCATAATTCTCACTCAACAGAATTTGAAGTGATTTGAATTTTTAAATGTAAAAATTTCTAATTCGACGAATCTTCATTTGTACGAATTTTTACTTGTACAAATTGTTAATTAATAGAATTCTTAAAATGCCTAATTTTTATTTATCGATAAAGGGCAAAAAAAAAATAATCGACAGAAGAATTTCGGCACGATTTTTAAAATTGACCAATCAAAATAATCAAAAAAAACGTGATTGGTAAATTTTAAAAATAGCGCCGAAAACTTTCTGTCGATTATTTGTTTGGCCCTTTATCGATTACGGATAAATAAAAATTAGGCGGTTTAAGAATTCTATCAAATAACAATTCGTACAAATAAAAATTTGGACAAATTAAATTTCGGTGAATTGGAAATTCTAGCATCTAAAAATTCAAAGCATTTTAAATTCTATTAAATGTAAATTCTGATAAATTAAAATTCGATTAAATTAGAATTCTTTTAAATAAAAAGTTGTGTAAAGAGAAATTCTGTGAAATAAAAATTTAGTAACTAAAAATTCTGCAAAATAAAAATTTGTTTTAAAAAACAATTCTTTTAAATGATAATTTGTCTAAAAAATAATTATTATCTAATAGAATTATTTAAAATGAAAATTCAAAATTATGATTTTTATGGGATAATTATGTGCCTCATTTAACAAAATTTTCAATAAAGAAATTTTTTGTTTAAACGAATTATTATTTAGCAGAATTTTCTTTTGATATAATTTCTATTTACAGTCAAAATTTTCAAATAGCAGAATTTCCATTACATCGAAATTTTATTTTTTGAAAGCTTTATTTGTACGAATTTTTATTTGAGAAAATTATCAAATCAACGAATTTTTATTTAATCGAAATTACAAATGACTGACCAAATGCAAAAAAGTTTTGACGCAAATTTTAAAATTAACAAATCAGAAATAATTAAGAAAATTGTTATTGATTAATTTTAAAATTCCCGCAACAACTTTTCTGTCGGATATTTGTTCGGACATTCGCAATTTCGGTCACATGAAAATAAGACGCTTTTAAAATTTCTATCAAATAAGAATTCGTACAAAAAAAAATTTTGGTAAATGCAGTTTCGGTGAATTCTGGTATTTAAAAATTCGACTCAGTCAAAATTTTGTCAAAATGAAAATTTTGTTAAATGCAAATTTGGTTAAATTGAATTTGTTTTAAGTGGAAATTCAGTTAAATAAAAGTTCTATTTAAAAAATTCTTTTAAATGTAAATTCAGTTAAATCAAAAATTTGTTAAGTGAATATTTTGCTAAATAAAAATTATGTTAATTAAAAATTCGGTATTAGGGAAATTATGCAGAATATAAATTCTGGTTAATAGAAATTATATTAAATGAAAATTCGTTCAAGTAGAAAATTTGTTTTACAAAAGTTCGACTAAATGAAAATTCCTTTAATTTATGAATTCAGTTAAATAAAAATTCTTAAATATAAAAATTAAATACAAAATAAATTCCATTCCAAATAAAAAATTATTTTGATATAAAATAAACCTTCTTTTACTTATTATTTGTTTTTTTCAGGTTTGGCACTACTGCGATTTGAACGGTGGGAAATCATCATTTTTATGTCCAAATGGAACAATATTTAATCAAGTTGCACTAACATGTGATTGGTGGTTTAATGTAAAATGTGAATCAACAACACAACTTTATGTATTAAATGAACGACTTTATAAATATATTTTACCAATAATGCCAAAATTTCCCGAGGATTTCACTGGACCGGAAGTTGATAGATATTTAGAGGAGAAATTCAAAGAAATTGAAGCAAAATTACTGGAAAAAAAATTGAAGAAACAACAAGAAGAAAAAGATAAGACAGAAGAAAAAATAAAAAGTGAAATGTTGACGGAAAATAATACTGAATAATGTGCCTCTTTTTTTAAATCAATTTTTTGTTTTATGACAATTTTTTTTATAGATAAAAATAGCTGCCATTACTGTTTACTACAGGCAAGAATTTCAAATTTTTAAAAATTACTATAACAAATTATACACTGAAATAAATAATTTTACTAAAATATTTTATAATTTTGTGGAAAAAAAATGACAAAAATTTAAATTTAAATAGAAAAAATTTTTAACTTTAGAATTAAAATTTTTCTATTGTTAAAAAATTAATTAAATAAAATTTTTACCGCAAAAAACGTAAAATTTTTAAGTAAAATTAAAAAAAAAAATTTTAGTGTATAATAAAGAAGATTGCCACACTGGTTTATCTGGAGTTCTAGTCATATTATTTTAGACAATATACGCGTTATTTATACAAGACTGCAATTTATTTGTCGTTTGTAGCAATACTTTTTGAAGCAAGTGAAATTCTAAAAATTCGATAATGGTGGTTCAGAGTAAATTAAAATTTAAACGAAAAAATAATTTCCATTTCTCAATTTTGTACGTGATATTTAAGAAAAAATAATTTCGAATTAAAATTTATTAATGTGACTGAACAAGATTGTCTTGTTCTATGAGAATGTAACTTAATATTTCTGTAATTTTTTTTTTATAATACTGTTGAATAAACTTATTTATTCCTTTGTAATATTTCTTTCTCTTTTAGAAAAAAAAAATTCTAAATATTTGCATCGCAAATTGAAAATTTTAAAACTTAAAATTAGTATTAAAAAAATAGTAAAAATCTTACCTTTTGTGTCTGATGAACTCGTTGAAGCGTCTCTGCGATGTTCTGGTAGGCACTGTGAAACTTCTCCTTTAGGTTCTCGTTCTGTAATAATGTAAAATCGATTTTATTTAACATGAAAAAAAATTGGTAAAATTAAAAATAAATTTTCTTGAATTTTTCAAAAATCTTACCCTTGATGAAAGTGACTCGACTGTATGTCCATTGTGTAATTCAAGTAAACAATCAGAGCAAACGACTACATCACACACTTGACAATAAAATGAAAAAGGCTTTTGATTATGAGTTGCACATTTAGTGTACGAAGATACATCAGCAGCGCTTTGTGAATTAGAGATCATCACTTTACGGTGGTTTTCCAATGCTCGTCCATGAAGCTGCAAAATAATTTTTTTATTTTTTTTATTATAAATTCTGTACAATATTATATTTATAATAATTTATATTAATATTATACTTTAAAAATTTTTAGAGTACATATATTTTAAAATATTATTTACCTTTGCATGGCAAGAATTGCATAATAAAACATTGCATTCCACACATTTTGATACAGCTCTATTCATGCATTCACTACAGCGATCTGGAAAAATAAAAAATTTCGATTACTTTTTTTTTTGTTATTTTTATTTACAAAAATAAGATTTTATATTTAAAATAAATTATTTAACATAACTGAGAAAAATTGAAAATTAATTATTTTTTTTTTGGAGAATATTTTTAAATTTTATCAAAAAATTATTAAAATTATTAATTAATAAACTGCTAACCTTGAGAAAGTGACTGACGAATTTTTGAGCTTGTTGTCTGATAAAACTTTAAATCAGGATCAGCTAAGTTGACAGGACGATTATGTGACAAAGTAACAACTCCAAGTGTGTAAACATCAATAGGAAGTTTAGGTTTTTCATTATTATCACTTTTTAATTGTGGTTGTTCACAAGCATTACAACTCAAATTATAATTTGCATGATGACAATAATCGCAAATTGTGTGTCCACATGGTAACAGTAAAGGAACATGTGAGTCCTTTTTAGAAAAATTATTCTCTGTAAATAAAAAAAAAGAAATTTTTTTTAGATTTTCTTAAATAAATAATTTTTTGAATAAATATGTAAAAATTACTAATAACAAAATAACAATAATTTACAGCTGAAAAAAACACCATGAGAAATACATTCTGTTTGGAAATTTAAATAAGCACTAATTAAAATACAGTATCGCATTGCAACGATATTTTGTTACATTCTGTACGGTTCAAATAACATAAAGCCGGTAAAAAATTCTGAAGAATGGTTTAAAAAACACAATTATTTACTATTTATATTTATTTTGACAAAAAATACCGATAAATGAAAAATCATGTACACAGAATAAATACTTGTAAGAAAATTTTGATAAATTACCGGCGATATATTTTGTCGCGCAGAAAGACAAATGAAAATATATTTTACCAAGAATCCCAAAATAGATACTAATTATAATATTCTATCATATTACATTCTTATTTTATCATATATAGAAGATTTAATTTCACAATAAAGAAAAGCCGGCAAAAATTTATAACAAATAAGCGAGAAAAATTTTTGAGGTTATACTTCCAGTTTTGAAAAAAATACATTGAAGAGAGATAGTGAATGCGATTTAAAATATACAATTAACAAGAACATGCAAAAAATGATTGATAATGTGTAATAATTACTGATTTAAATACATGTGGAAAAGAACAAAGAATTTTACATACCTTTGATAAAGAATTGACGCTTGCACTGGACACATGGAAAATTCTTGGACTTTATGTCGTGATATGAGAAGACAATTTGCTTCTCAGCTTTCTCGTACCGTTGCCCGCTCATACTTTTTCTTTTTTATGAAAATTCATCCACTAAATTAAAGAATTAAACACTTTTCTTGAATTACTGTATACACAACAGATTAACACGATAAATGGTAATGATGTGAAGAACAGAGGAGCTTCTGCGCATTTCCCACTGTAAGTGTTCTGACTTCTCATTGGTCGAACAACTAAATCAAAAATGTCGGCTCAGTAGCGTATTAACTGCAATCACTGCAATCAAAAACCCCACATATAAACATAAAACATTGAATTTTATCAAAAAGATTATTTAACTATTTTGAAATAAAATTTTAATAAATAAATTACAATTTTTAATTAAATATTATTTTTATGTAAAATTAAAATATTATTTTAGAATATTTCAAGTAAAATAAATTGAATAAATATTTAAAATTCTATTCGATAAATTTTATAAATGCACGTTCCTGAAATGGAGAGCTCACCACGTGTTGGAAATACAAGAATTGACTAGTTTGATTTAATAGAATAAATTAATTAAATATTAAATAATAATCAGTAAACTTGTTAATATTTTATAGAAAGTTGTATGAAATAGTGGTTTTAAAATTATTTAATAAATATTCTTAAACAACGATGCGTTCAACAATATTAATGAATTTGTATTTTCATCCTTATTTTGGAAGAAATTAAATTTCAAACACCACGTGATCCATTTGGATTTCCGGTAATTCAGGTATGAATTTTTTTTTTTTAAACTAAAATAAACTTTCATTTTTAAACTTATTTTGAAAGAATGCGTATACTTTTGCACGTTTTATAAATTATAGAAATATTTCTAAACATTAGGACCAATTTTTTTATATCTGGTAAGTTAATATAAAATAGAAACAAATTATTAATGTATTAAATAATTGAAACAGAGGAAATGATACCACGGTATACAAAGAAAATTAATTCTCGAAAGATATTTAAAATATGCACATTGTTCTTATTTGTGAAAATTTTTATAAATTGTGTAATATAATTTACTATTATTTATTATCATATTATAATTTTTATTATATATTATATTATTATTATTATTTTTATTTTTTATTTTTTTAATATATCCTTTTAATCTCTCATGAAAGAGAGATGAATATTTCAAATATTTTATACTGATAAAATTGACATTAGATTTACTTGAAAAAAATGTAAAAATTACAGAAATTCTATTTTATTTTATTTTTAACTCAGCAATTAACTGTAATTTTGATACGAATTTCGTCTAATTTTAATATCGCAAAAAATAATTTATATATTAATATATTTATTAAATGAATGTATATAATTATATATAATTTTTTGAAATTCATAGAATTTTTAGAATTCCAGGAGTTATAACTAAATTATCAAAATAACTCTTAGAAATCATCAAAGGTTTTATACTGGAATTTACCACAACAATTCCAAAGATCAATACTATCACTGAAATTGAGTCATTATGGTGAGGTCAGAGAGGTAAAGATTCAAACATTCATTTAACAAAGCAGCGGTGGATATTGTACCTAATTTAATTCTTCCTGGAATTTCGTAATTAGTGCGTTTACAGCAATGCAATTTTTTTTAATCGTAGCCCAATTTTTTTATTTTTTTTTTCATTATGCAAAATTAAAATTTCTACTTTAATACACTTAACATTTTCTTTCTTATATGAATACTGATGATATAATATAATTTTTCCTTTTATAAATTTTTGATAAATTTTTTCGCTCTTATTTATTTAAAAAAAATGCATTTTATTCTTAATCTAAAAAAAATAGTAAATATTTTTTAATTGCATCAATTTTCGTACCTACAAATTTTATATAAAAAAAACTAAGTTAAGAAAATGAAGATAAATAAAAGTTTGAAGGAATCTTACGTTTAAATTCCGCGAGAAATTCCACGTGAAAATACTCTATGAAATTTGAATATATACAATATTAGCTTCAGGTAATAAAATAGTTATCCCAACTAATAAAATGCCATTGACGTATATATATATATATATATATATATATTATAAACTAAGTAATATTGAGTTTACCTACATAACATAAGTTAATTTATGGAATTCTTACATCTTTAAAAAGTCTATAACAAAAAATCGTACATAAAAATAAATCTTTAAAAGCAGGATTGCCACAAAAATTTGACTTTGTTTTTTCCTGATTTCCGGAATTTTTTCCCTAATCCTAATGAGAAAATTTCAAGAAGTTTTTAATTATAAAAAATTAAAACACTAATTTTTAGAAGCAACAATTTTAATCCATTAAATAATTCAGTTTTTAAAGAACTTTATTAAAATATTATTAAACAAAATTAATTTTGTGAAAATGTTTTAAAAATAATTGAATTTTTTAAATTTAAGATTTTCATTTTTAAATTTAAGATTTTCAAAAATAATTGAATTTCTAGAGATTATAAATTTAAATTTTTTCTAAATTTGTATTCAAAATTATTTACATCTTTCAAAAAGGAATTAAATTATAGATAATTTTTAATTGAAAACTGTTTTAAATAATTTAATTTTTGAAAAACTTGATTATAGTTAAGAAGAATAATTGATAAAATAATTAATTGTAATGAACTAATTACAAGAATTTTAGAAATAATTGAATTTTTGATGAGTTACAGTTAAGATTTTTAAAAATAATTGAATTTAGAGGTTTTTTTTTTCTTGAAAATTTTTTTTGGTTTAAAATTATCTACGATTTTCAAAATCTAATTAATTTTTGGAAAATATTTAATTAAATATTATTAAAAGTAATTGAACTTTTGAAAAACTTGATTAAAATCATTGAAAATAATTAATTTTGCTAAAAATTTTAGACTTTTAGAAATAATTGCATTTTGAGATTTTTTTATTAAAATTTTTGTAAATTTATTATGTTAAACAATGTCTACGAATTTCAAAAAGTAATGCATTTTTTTTAGAAAATATTTAATTGAATATTATTTAAAGTAATTGAATGTTTGAAAAACTTTATTATTAATGTTAATAATATAGTAATTAATTTAATTAAATGTAAGAATTTTCGAAATAATTAAATTTTGGAAGAGGTATAGTTGAAATTAAAAAGAATATTAAATTTTGAAGATTTAGTTGATTACAATTTTTGTAAATTTATTTTGTTCAAAATTATCAACGAATTTCAAGAAGTAATTAATTTTTTTGAATATTGTTTAAAATAATTGAATTTTGGAATCTGACAGTTAAGATTTTTTAAAAGTCATTGAATTTTAGTTAATTTTTAATTAAAAATTTTTTTAAATAATTGTTTTTCGAAAAACTTGATTAATGATATTAAAAATCATTAATTTAGAAAAACCTTTTAGGTTTAAATTCTTTGAATTTTGAAGAAACCATATTTTATAATGAAAAAAATCGTATTTGGTCAAAAAAAAGAAAAACAACATAATTTTATAAAATAAATCAAAAAAATCTTGCCTGTTTTTAGAAATTCGATACTTTGCCGCAGTACTTTTAATAAAATTCCCTGATTTCCGTGACCCGTGACAACCCTGTAAAAGTTAAAATATATTTTAGAAATAAATGTAATTTTGAATTTATATTCATAATTTATAGAATTACAACAGGGTTTAATATTTTGAGATAAATATTTTTGAATGTAATAATTTGAAAAATGGATTATATTAATAATATATAATTATTTTAAAAAACTAATTCTTAATTATATTATCTAATCGATTGATTATTTTGAATTTGAAGTTTCTTTAAATATCTCTCTTGTCAATTGTAAAATTTCCTTCGTCTATTGGATGGTGGAAATATACATGGTGCAAAGTTATGCTGATCTAGGTCTAGGTGCGGTTTGTGAGGCCCGTTATAATCCCGCCCAAGCGACCAGTTCGCCAGTGGACTTAAGGCAAAAGTTGAAGTTGAGCTCAACGGAGCCAAGGTCTAGGCTAACAGCTAGGAAGTATTCAAGGTCGCGTGTAGAGCGCAAAGCCCGGATCCTATCCCCACCTATATAACACAGAGAGATTCTAAACGCCCTTTTGCATTCTTCCTTCTTTATCAATATATCTCTCTTTCTCTCTAACACTAACTCATCCCCCAACCCTTCTACCACTTCAACATTCTGTCTCACTCTTACTCGTACTGACGCCAAGTGCAACATCGATTTAACCATAAAAATTCCCCCCTTGCATCACTTTGCTATTACTTCCTGCCCGGGCTTCATCGGCTGCTCCCAGATTCGCTGTGCAATCTTCTTAGGAAAGAGAATCAAGACCACAATGGGCAAAAGTAGCGGATTCTTCATTCACCTTCTTCTCTCTTTTTTAAAATCCTTTTTCTATATATTTTATATTACTGTATATATTTTTTTACTCCATTTATACTTTACTGTTTTTTTTTTTTATTCCTGCTTTAATTCTTCACAATGGAAGCCTTTTAAGACTCTGGATCTACTCTTTTACAAGTATTTAAGTACAGAACAAAATTCTGAATTTTAGACATAATGTTGGCGACATAGCAAAAGTTATAAAACATTTATTTTTTCAATCAATATCCAGTTATGGTAAATTCGAGTTTTTTTGCTCAATAAAAATATCAACACTGGAAAAATATTTATTTCATTTTAATAATCGGTTTCTTGACTATTAAATATTTATTTGTATTAAATAATTATTATTTGAGTAAATTAAGGGGAGGTACCGCTAAAATTTCAACCTTTTAAAATTAATTTAATTAATTTTTCATTTCAGATTTTTTCTACGCTTTTTTCATGGTTCTGAACAATCAATCGTATGGATTTTGAAAAATTCAATTTTTTCAAAATATAAAAATTGTGGAAAATAAAAACGAATTGTAAAATTGTTAAAAATTACATTTTTTCATTTTTCATAGTAAAGTATGATTTCAGGTTCTAAAAAAATTATTACCCCTAAACAAAACCATAATTATGCCTGTTTTAAATTTTATTAATTATTCCTTAAAGATTCAACTTCTTGCATAATATTGATTATTTTTTATCGGCAATTTTTTTGTACACTTTTTTTATGATTCTATCTAATGGATTTTAAAAAATTTTAATATTTTCAAAAAATAAAATTTCTAAAATGGTCAAAAAATTTATTTTTTAATTTTCATAATTCACAATACTTTTTGGATCCCAAATAATGACAGAAAAAAAAATTGACACCCCTTAACAACATCAATTTTGATAAGTTGAAATTTCACCGGTCCTTTCCCTTAAATGTTTCAAATACAGAAATTATTGGTTTAAATAGTTTATTTAATTCAATTATTTGATTTCAAAAATTATTTGCTTGAAGTAAATATTTATTTGATAATAGTCAAGTAACGGATAATAAAATATAATATTTATTTACCACAATTACAAATATGTCTCAGGGCCTAATAACTTTTTATTTATTTCAAACAAAAAATTATTTAGCGCGTAAATAAAATTTTTATTTAAACCAAATCAAATTTATTTGCAACTGAAAAAATTTAATTAGTTTTGAGACAAATATATATCTTCTCTGGATGAAAAAAAAAAAATGAAAAAAATTTATCCGTTTCAAATAATTAGTTACCTTACTGTAATTTTGTTACAATTTCTTTGAATTTCTCCTCTAAATATCTATCAACTTCCGGTCCAGTGAAATCCTCGGGAAATTTTGGCATTATTGGTAAAATATATTTATAAAGTCCTTCATTTAATATACATAGAGTTGTGTTGTTGACTCACATTTTATATTAAACCACCAATCACATGTTAGTGCAACTTGATTAAATATTGTTCCATTTGGACATAAAAATGGTGATTTCCCACCGTTCAAATCTCAGTAGTGCCAAACCTGAAAAAAACAAATAATAAGTAAAAGAAGGTTTATTTTATTTCAAAATAATTTTTTCTTAATTTAGGGAGTATGAATATTTTTTACATTGTATTTGTTGGAATTTCTATACGGTGTAAAAATTAATAAACTCGATTATAATACCGAATTTTATAAAGTAGAATTGATATTGAATTAAATTTTCATATTTAAAGATTTTTTATTTAACTAAATTTATAATTAAAGAATTTTAATTTAATCGAACTTTTGTAAAACAGATTTTTTACTTAAACAAAATTTTCATTTAATATAATTTCTATTATTACAATTTAACCACATTTCAATTTAATAGAATTCTCATTTGACAAAATTTTGGCTGAGTCGAATTTTTAAATGCCAAAATTCTTATTTCACCCAAACTTCAATTGCCAAAATTTTTCTTTATACGAATTGTCCTTTGATAAAAATTTTGAATTCGGTAAAAATTTCTGCAATATAAAAATTTTTTTAAAAAGACAATCTATTATAAATGCCAATTTGAAAAATAAAAATTTTTCTAAAAAATAATTATAACTAATGAAATTCTTATAATATATAATTATAATAAATAAATAAATAATATAGGTAGGGTCAGTTGAGAAAAATGGGGACAAAATCGCTATTTTTCACAAATTACGTAAGTTTCTTCCTTTAAAAGGTAATATTTGCGGGTTTTTTTTTAAGTTGTTATTTACGTTCCCAGGATTAATTTTATGCAGCAGAAAAAAATTTAGATAAGCTTTAAACGCATGAAACTGACTGTCCCCATTTACCCCAAAATTTAGAAAATTTTATAAAATTTGGGGTATTTCAGTATTTTGTCTCGCATTTGAAAAAACAGACTTAAAAATTATACCAATTTTTTTCTTATTCCTTATGATTCCCATAACAGAAATTTACTTGAATTTTTGATTTTTGTTAATTTGGTTAATAATGACAAACTGTTCCTATTTACCCCAAAAATTTGAAAACTGAGGGTAAATGGGGACAGCTTGTCATTATTAACCAAATTAACAAAAATCAAAAATTCAAGTGAATTTCTGTTATGGGAATCATAAGGAATAAGAAAAAAATTTGGTATGATTTTTAAGTCTGTTTTCTTTGAAATGCTCGACAAAATACTGAAACAGTTTGACTTTAATTTTCAAGTTTTTATGCATTGAACGATAACTTTTTTTATCTTGCTGCCAATATTGTCAAGATAAAAGCTTGGCAATACTCAAAACCTCTTGCAGGTGATCTGAGGTTAAAATATTGACGTTGAACTTCATTTTAAAACTGTAAATTAAGCTCCAAAACTTCTTGTCCTCATTTACCCCAACTGACCCTATATAATTATAATATATATATAATATAAATATGAATAATAATGAGCAAAATTTGCTGACGCAGTAAATTTCTTATATACATTTATCAAAAAAATATTTACTTTAACCAAATAATTGTATTTGAACCAATAATTTCTGTATTTTAAAACAAATAAAATAATAATTATTTAATAGAAATAACCCAAGTAGAAATATCCGTAGCTCGCCGTAATTAAACACCGGCATGGTACTGATCCAATACTGGCTGTCGGTATTGACTTTCAGTACTGGCAGTGTACAGACTAATACACCGAATCAGTACCATGTCGGAGGTAAAAAAAATATTAAAACCAGTACTGTCAGTACACTGTCATTCACACCGAATCAGTACTATGTCGGTGATAAAAAACATTAAATGAAAAAATCTTTAAATTATTTCAATAGGTAGAAAACGATGATTTTTTATTTAAAAAAATGTATATTAATTTCTTTCGAATACTTTCCCTCAAAATTTTGGATGTAATTGTAATGTATTATTATATACCTATATAAAATATATTTATGTTTTTTTAGTTATTTTAGTACTCATTGAAATATGTGCATTAAGTTATTTATCATGCATACAATAACAATAAGTTGAGAATTTTTTTCTAATAGTTTTAAAAATAAAGCAAATGTAATTTTTTCACTGTAATTTTTAAATATTATTAATAATTAAATATTAAATTTAAAAAATTTTTCACCATTCATATTTTACAGTCGTCTTTTATTAACTTATTTTTAATTATGTAATTCATCAATCATTTTTGTCTGTTTTAATATTATTTACGGTAAAAATAATTTATTAAAAATATTTAACTGAAATTGATATCCAGTTTTATTTCATTAAATCTTTGTAAAAATTGAAAAATTTTTATGAGTTTAAAAAATTTAAGAATAAATTCATTTTATTTTCGTGATCAATAGATAATACAAACTTTGAAATCAAAACTTTTGTATTAGGTGAACTACTTCAAGTCAGCACTTCAAGCCAGCGCGGCTGTGTGGTATGCGTATCTGACTTGCGTTCTAAGGGTTTAGGGTTCGATCCCCCATGCGTGCGAGATTTTTCGTTCTTAGTTTTAAGTGTTATAAGTACAATATTTGTTCATGTGCAATATCAATTATTAAATAATTATTAAATTAAGTATAAGTGCAAAGTAAAAAAAATTAAATATTATGAATTTAAAAAAATAAAAAAATTTACAACACAAATTATTTTTTGTAAAATAATTTATTAAAAATAAAATAATTTAATTAATATAAATGATAATTATTATTTTAATTATTTATTGTTAATAATATTTTATATATTCTAAATAACATTAACTATTATTGGCTTCACATTACCTGTTCGTGGTAAAAATGGGAGTAATAAGTTAATAAGGATGAAATTTGCATTGGAAAGCGTGTTTTAGCATTTTGTAAAAAAGTGAGATTTTAAGTCCGGATGAGTACTTTGCCAGTATTATGCCAGTATTATTCTAGTACTACGTTAGTACTGGTGAGCGGGACAAAATCAGTACTGGACAGCGTTACCAGCCAGGGTTGGTCCACTACTGGCCCAGTACGGCAGTCAGTACCGTTTTACTGACTGGCAGTGTTGGGTCAGTACTATGCCAGTGGCACATTTCTACTTGGGAAATATTTATTTGATAAAAGTGAAGTAATAACCGATTATTATTATTTGAATAAAATAAAATTTGTTTTCAGTGTATGCATATTTCATATAAACAATATTATATTTAAGGATGAGGGAAAATCTCTAAACGCGAATGCATTTTAGCACAACGAAAGAGGTTTTTTCAGATGAATATGCGCAACGTGTATACATATATATGGGGGTGTCTTTAATGGAAAAATCAAATATTAAAAATATTGCTCTTTCGTCTATTTACGGTCTCTCTATCTCTCTCTCAACTTGTATCAAAGAGCGTTCTATATAAAGATATTGTGATTATATACAAAATTAATAAATACCCTGTTTATCTTTTAAATATTTTCCACGGCTGACAATAAAATAATCATACTCTTTAAAAACAAAAAGAGAAAAAACTACTCTAAAAAATTGTTTGGCTGAATCAAAAATATTTGCAAGAAATTTTAACCCTGCAGCAATATATTTTGTGACAACTTTGTCTTTGAAAGAAACACGATTTTTGATTTTAAAAATTTTTTTACTGAAAACTTGAAAAATTATCCTACTAACTTTATATTATTACACTGAAAAAAAATTATTTGATTCAAATAATCGATTATATTAAATAAATATTTCCTTGAACCAGATAATTTTAATTTGAATTAAATTAAATTTTAAATCAATTTAATTTAAATAAGTTTAATTTTATTTGTTTTAAACATAGAAATTATTGATTTGATTTAAATACAGTTTGATTCAAATAAAAAATTGTTTGTCACAAGGAAATATTTATTTGATAATAGTCAAGTAATAGATTATTTGAAATAAATAATTATTTTTTTCATTGTATAAAAAATTTAGCACAGATTTTATTTTCCAATTTCGATTTTTCTCTTATTTGCAATATAATCTCTAACTTTCAACTATATATATATATATATATATATATATATATATATATATATGTATCTACAAGTGTTACAAACTGAACTGCAGTAACTTCTGTAAATTCAATTCGTCTGACCTACATTAGGTGTTATGCACTAGCTGGCATCACTTTATTAGTACCAGAGTTTGTACTGCCTCTGGTAAAAGGGCAAAAGTGATTTCAAACGTTCTCGAAAGGATGATGATGAATCGAAAATTGTCCAATTGGAAAAAAAATTTTTAAATAAAAAATAATTTATTAATATAATATGAATAAATTTTTTTTTTATAATTATTCAATTTAATCTTTAATGAAGTGTAAAATAATAAAATATGAATAATTTCCAGAATGATGAAATATATGCGGGAACTTGTTCATATTTGTTGTACAAAATTTAATGTGTATAATTTTATAAATATAATAAAACAAATTAAAATAAAATATATAATAATAATTCGTTTAATTTTATATTAATCGGGATTTAAAAAGAAATTTATATTTTGTAGAAAATAAGTCATTAGAGGGGATTAAATTATATATACATATAGTACGCACTGCCATCATATTATATTTAAATCTATAATAATGAATGTACTTGAATTTACTGGATACATGTATATAAACAGTAATTGAAATCAAAACAGTCTCCTCGTTATTCAAAACGGTAGCAGACAGTCCTGAGAATCCGTTTTATTCATTTCGGTCCTGGTGGTTAAGCTCGATCGATTAATAATAAGCGAGAAGTGGCCGAGCGAAAAGCCATCGGCTTAAATTTTCATCGGCTTTCGCGCGTGCTCGTATGATTATTTATTCACGATGCCGCGCGAACCATCGAGCAGACGATGGGAAAAAAACGGGAAAAAGCTAAAAAGCGAAGCCTCGTCCATTGCGCTTTTTTTATTTTATACTCGCGCTAAATGAAAAACATGGTCAAAAAATCTCTCTCATCCATCCCTCATCTCCTTCTGTCAATATATTCAAGTAACAGACGCGAGCATATACATTTCCAGTCGAAGGTTTTATTTTATTTTTTATTCTTACACCACCGTAAAAATCATAAGTAAAAAAA